AACAAATTAAAATGTCGTTTAATTGGGACGACGAAGCTGTACTGCTCTTGATTGAAAAATTTCATGAAAATGATATATTATGGAATCCCAGAAGTGCAGCACTTCACTAGCTTTCTATGTGACTGTCACAACCGGAATGATGCTTGACGGCTTTGCGCGGCTTGTATTGCCGGCGGCATAGCCGCTCGGCATAAACCCGGCGGCATTGCCGCCGGCACTGTGTGTAGCAGCTTTTAGAAAGTACTCTGAATTTCGAAACTTTCTAAGCGGCATTTTGTTAGTTACCTAAGTACGCAACTTTGCCTGCATTGAAGCGGTTCGGTTTTTATCTCTGATCGTTTACGAAATTCCAGTGGTGACGGTCGAATTCGAAACACCCGATTTTCGAAAGTTTTTTGCAGCATTTCGGAGACGCGGCAACGGCAGCTTGCGTTTTCGTACATATTAACGGATTAATATTTTTAACTTGTACAGTGAAAAGAGTGCAAAAAATTTTGCTTAGTCCTTAAACAGTTTGAAAATAGGAAAGTGAGCTTTTCAGAAGATCACAATAAAAAAATGTTGGCTAAAAAACGAACATGTGTCTCACTAGGAACGACTTATTTTCCTGTTTTTAGACGGCAAACTTACATTTCTTTCCATATATGTTGCGATAGATATTTATGTACATATATGGTGTTACTTAATGATAGGCCGTATTAATGTTACAAGAGCATATTCCTGTACCAAATTTAAGTAGAAAAGTTCATATAAACATGTGTCCTAAAACGTCTGGTCTCCAAGGTACAGAGTGTTAAAGGAAAAAATATGGCTTTTGACAGTGAAAAAATAAGAGTAAACTGCCAGAGAAACTCAAAAATATGTTTATAATACCAGAAAAACATTCCTTGGCAACGATCAAAGTTGTTTTGATCTTATTATAATAATTTTTCGACGAAGAACGTACGAAGCGATACTAAAAAGACAAAAAAGTAAAAATAAATAAATATATTTTTCAAAAAAAAGTCGGCGGCGTTTATTTTTTTGTTAATATCATTGGTGAGACTGCCCCCGAGACGCCACTTGAATTCACAATTATTTTTGAGCGTTAGTGTTTTAGCTAGCTTACGTCTTATTGTAGTGAAACCTACTGCCAAAAAATCACATAATCGGCACAAGGATCTTTGAGGTACTTATAAAAAGGACCAACATTTTTTTTGAAACTTTGACACTATCTTGGAAACCAGAGTTTTAGTACACATGTTTATATGAACTTTTCTACTTAAATTAAGTTCAGGAATGCGCGCTTGTAATTACGGATTATCATTAAGTAACACCCTGTATTTCTCCATATGATATGACTACCAAAACAAAGGCTACCGTCTAAGAGGTTGAAAAAATTTCCAAATTTGAAACATGCAAACTAAGTACAGCTTTGAAAATTTTGGGAAGAATAAATAATTCACTTAAAAATTGGCAAATTCCCCCAGAATGTGATCAATATTTTGTACCGTCTAGGGGAGGCAGCCCCTCCCCTCATTTACGCCACTACTAATGCGGTAAGTCCAGATTTGTGGTAACGTTCGCCGTGAACACCGTTCCATCAAAATAACTTGAACTCATGAAAAAATGAGCGTACGTTTGCAAAATTCTAATGCGGTCCTTCGTCATAAGCGATGCATTTTATTTACACCGAAGCAGCCGCGGAGGCAGAAGCCTAAATGCCAGGACACCGAGGCTGCTATGAGGATCCCATAGAATTTTTGTTAAACCGATTTGTGAACTGCCACAGGTTAGTAGAACTGGGAAAAGCCTCCTCTTGTAGATTGTTCTACAGTCTCGACACCCTCATGGAGGAGAGCTCTGAGGAGCAAAGCCCGTTTGGTGTAGCGGTAGAAGAGCGCTAGATCACCGATGGCGCGCCGGTGTGAAAGGGTCCCGAGACAGTCTGTTAGAGAAAAGTCATCGATAAGTCGGACAGCCCTTCTCTCGACAGCATCGAGCATGAATAATGTAGTCGGGGCGGCAGCACCCCAAACGTGTGAGCAAAACTCGATCTTATCTGGGCCTTGTATAGACTGAGGAGGTTATGCGAAGAAAAGTACTTCTTAGGTCTCGGTCATCTGGACTCCGACCAACTGGCAGAACTCGGCCAACCAATGAGCGGTAGGACGCCTTTCGTTCGTCAAGGTACAGTACTGTATTTTGGAAGCATTAAACTATACAAGATTGTTGGGTCCCCAAGCAGTGATAACCTAGAGGCTGTCGTCAGAGAGGAAGTCGCTGCTAGTCTTCTTTTTTCCAGCTCACTGGCAGAGATCGGCTTGTCGCTCTGAATTCCTGCATGTATAGAGTGCTGTCATCAGCAAAGGTGTGAACTGGATTGATCATACAATAAAGGAGGTCGGTGATATGTAAGAGGAACAGTGTCGGAGCCAAGACCTATCCCTGGGGATCAGCCGCGTTGACGTTGTGGGATAAAGAGGAGAACCCATCAATTACGAGGGATATCTTGAGGCCAGAGAGAAAGTCAGCCACCCATCTGCAAAGCTTCTCTGGGAGGCCATAGGATGGAAGTTTCCATAAGAGGGCAGCGTGCCACAGCTGATCGAACGATTTCGTGACATCAAGAGCAATGATATTAGCATTACCATAAGACTGGATGAGTTTACTCCACAATTGCGTGGCAAAAGCTAGGAGATCCCCTGTGGATTGCTGGTGCCGGAAATCGTACTGCCTGTCTCTCGAATTATGCACCTATCCATCACCTGATTTATACCAGAAAGCAGAGCTGCAGTTCTGTAGTTATAAGGGTCGGTCTTTGATCCTTTTTTTGAGATAGGTTGGACATGAGCAAATTTCTAGTTTTCTGGGAGGGTGCCCGATTCGTAAGATGTCTGGAAGAGACGCGAAAGAACTGGAGCACACCTCTTCAATACAACGGCAGGAATCAAGTCCGGACCAGAGGCTTTGTTGATGTAGCGCGACAAGAGCACTCGTCTTACGGTCTTATGCTCCATGGCAGCAATCGTTCCATCGTGACACGTGGTGTAGGGCTACTCTGTCAGTCTGCTTGGCCAACGTCCAGAAAGACCGACTGCCATTCCATTGAGATATTACCCTGTGTTTAACTTTTATATCCTGCTGGTTTCTGGCATTGCGGACCGTTTCGTTATATATGTTTCTGGACTCGACGTTGGCTTGTCTGTTCTCTACAGTGGGGCTTTGTAAGAAGGTCTGTGTATCTTGATATTCTGCTGACGAGCAGTGTCGCACGATTTTTTGAACCAACCGTTTGACCCTGGTTTAGGCACTTTCACTGTATGACGGATGTATTCCTCCATTCCAATATAATTTCGGTTATCGCTGAACATACATCCGACGTATCCGCTTCAGCGAAACAAACATCTCTCGAAGAAAAGGTGGAGAAGAAATCTCCGAGTCCCACCCAGTCGGCATGTCCGTAATGCCAAATTTTGCGTCCTGGGCGACTTTCTGCTGCCACAGCGTGGCCTGAATTACCCAGGGCAGATAGGACAGCAGTGCTGTAAGGGACAGGATGCGTGGTTAGAAAGAGATCCAGCAAGCTATTGGCGTGTGACGAAACGCGAGGAAAAAAAGGTAGGGCTCGTCACAAGCTGAGTCAGTCTAGTAATACCGAACACTTCAACTGCACAACCTGTTATATCGATCTTGTTTAAGCCTAACCAAAGCATTGAGAACTACCTCTGAAGTACGGCGATTGATGTTCAAGAGGTCGATCTTGACAGCGATGTATTCAACTAAGTTATCTCAGTTATGGTCCGAGGAAGAGCGATAAAGGCAGCAAATAAATTAGGGGGATGTTCATTTTTGTTCCCTCGAGTCCACCCTGCACCCATCATCATTAATTTTTTTGTTGGGGAAAATAACCGACTGCCTAGCTTAGGTGTGGAAGCATGCGGACATTCTTAAGACACCTAGCAAAAAGCTAGCTGGTGATACCGCCTCGGTCGCCTGGTCCCGCCTCTGTCGACTGGTTCTTGTCTACCACCTGCTTTTTGCGTGTTAATGTTGTTCAATGTACCTAAAGTGGCCCGTTGGCAGACTTGAATCGCCTCACGGTAATCGGTACTGAGGTAATCCTTAACGCGTGTACAATCACTTCAATGGGAAGAAGTTGTATACTGAATACAACAACTTCAGAAACAAGCATTTGCCACGGCCCCGGTCAGTAGGGGTAAAATATAATAATTGAATTTGCGCTTGTCTAGATGACACGTGCGCTAATTAAATTGTCTTAAGTCGTCAAAAAATCCCGAAGTACCTATTTGGATACCCTTGAATTGTCTTACATGTTTCCATATCTTTGTCCAACCAAACAACTGTTGTGGCATTGCTCTTGTTGGATATATAGGTAATTGGTATCGTCCACTTTTCACTAGAAAACAAAACATTTCTTAAAACAACATGAAACGCGAGAAAAACAAAAATATATTTCTCGATCCTTTCCTATTTTTATACCTTATCCATAATTTTGTTAGATACCTTTTCAATCCTAGAACTGTACCAATAATAAAATTAAATCAACAATACCCCGAGGTACAGATGTCATGTTACATGAGCATTTTTAATATCAGTTTCAGTCGCATTGATAACAATTAAGGCCCATTAATAAGGAGCATATAAACAAGTTTAGCAAAAACGTTTTTTTGATTTGTACCCCAGGCTTAAAGTGCTCCTAATAGAAATAACTTTTGAATGAGGAAGCATAATACTTACTTTGTTGTAGATGAGTATCTAGCAACAGTCTCACAAGCTTGCTGTGTGAGAACGTACTTGTCCCCTTCCATCTGGATAGAGACAACTGGAAATCTGTTCTGGAACAGGTAACTTTCCAGGAAGCCTCTCAAGTTAATGTGAGGTACCACTGTTTCGACAGCCACCAGAAAATCGTTTGTTGTGACAGTTTTGTAGATGTGTGATTTTAGGAAGGCTTGAACTATTTTTTTGAATTTTTCTTCACCTACCACGTCTTCTAACATCAGTAGTACGCCTGCCGCCTACATATAAAATAATTTTCAATTTGTGTCTGTTTCTAAGATGATTTTCTTGTGATTATCAGACTGCACTGCACTTCCCACGCAACGTTGACATCAATTCATAAAGGATTATAGTTGGCACAAGTTAGTTTCTGTTAGAAAGAAGTTAGCTACGGACATATATAAAAAAAAGATTAATTGGATCATGTCGAACAGTCTCATAAAATAAGTCCATAGTCCCCACCGATTTGACAGCATTGCGATATAGTCTACTGCCCTACCGACCACCTAGCAACGTATCAAGCATGCCTACCGGGTCACTCGCAATCTCAGCTCGGCATTGCATACGCGGTACACGCATCGTCGTTCAGTTAACTGAGCGATTTTTATTTTTTTTCATCTGTAGCTCCGCCGGCACTGGCCCGATTTAAAAAAAACTACCGAGCTTTTTCGTCCTGGCATAATACTAATCTTTTGTGAAAGTTTCATCAAAATCTGAGCGGTACTTCCAAAGTTATAGATGGACCAAGTATTAGCGGACAGACCGACCGATGGAAATGAGTGACATGGTTTTTCGCGATTGCAATATTTCCTCGCAAGTGGCGTAGGAAGTAAAACTAAAATTTTATATCTACTTAATTCAGGCAATGTTTTCTCAAAATATTATACCTGTATGTATTACATATTTCCATTTCTGTCTCTAACTGTTACAAGCCTATGAATCTGGAGACACATCGGTAATTTGGGGTGCTGAATACACGTATCGTCCAAAAATAGTGAAGTGTCGTGGGGCTGAATTCGAGATAGAGAATTGGTCACCCAGTGAAATTTGCATATTTACTCATTTAGCATAGTTTTGTATGGCATATTTAAGATATGCCACTATTTAAAAATTAATGGCTGATACATAATTATAACTTAGAAAAAGTTTCTTTTTGACGATGTCTAGTCGCTCATGTTAGCATAAATTGATGTTAGATTCAGAATCTATACCCACCTTATTTTTTCACTTCAAAAATTTAATCACTACTTCCTGTTTCTCATGTCTAACTGCATACCAAATCCCATTCAAATAACAACATTTTCAATGGGGGTTCTATTTTCTTTGTCATTGAGTATATACATATGTCCTAATTGAATCTCAATATATCAAGGGGACGATTTTCGTGTACATTTTAAGAAGAAAACTTCCTATGAACGTATGTCCTGAGCGTCTTGATTTTTGAGATACAGGGTGGTAAAGTTTTCAATATAGAAAGTCACTGTGACGCCACTGACTTTTCCATAAATTAAAAAATTGGAGTCTTTGTAGATTTGAACTCTTGCACTTTTTTAATCCTAAGCACGGTTTTCACCTAAAAAATAAAAGCTATTTTTCTGCAAGGTTATTTTTTAAAGAAAACCTGCGAATCGGATCGAAAACAATCACGCATACAAACACGCTTAGAAATGATGGGGATTTCAAGAATAATTTTTATTTCAAGAGAAATCCAGTGGAAAACCATCAATGTCTGCCAAAATAGGTAGTTGAAATTCCGTACAAACATGCGTTCATATGAGGTTTTTTTCTTAAAATGGACCTAAAAACCGTAATTAGGAAATACCCTGTATAGGTCTTTGTCCTATATTATAAATATGACCTTCAAGAATTCTGATGTGTAGTTGATCCGATTTCGTAGGCGCTACCGTCATATTGATAGATATAGAATTATATAATAGGAATCTACGCATTCAATTTACCAAGACTTTTTGAGAAATAGTCCTACTTCACGTTTTGGTCGAATACATGAAATTCTGAAAACATGTTAGACTAGTTGTGTGTTCATTTCTTTTAGGTGGAAGTTCTTGACGTTTAGGAAACATTTATTTTCTTCTTCAGGGCTCGATGGCAACACTAACTAAATGCATACTAACCTTATCATAGACAATGTCGGTAAATTTATCAAATATATCCCTTTCCTTCATCAAGGACGAAACAACTGACTTTGTAGGAGCATATAGTTCGTTGTAATAATGCTTGTCCAATGCATAATCTTTCATTTGTTTAACCTACAAAATAGAAAAGTAATAAGCAAATTATAGACTTTTCAAAAAGAGTAATATTTGTAACCTGTGTAGTTCCTTTTTCCTTTGCTATCATTTTGTAGCTCATGTATGTTGCGAAACCCTCTTGTAGCCATATGTCGTTCCACCACTGATTTGTAACTGTAAAATATATTAATAATTTTTCTAGTGCGAAGAAAATAAAACATTCAGTAAAAAATGATATTGTTTCAATGAAATTTTTGTATACGAGAATAGTTAAACATAACCATAGGAAGTTCTGATTACATTTTATGTGAAGACAGTTATGGTATCAATGGATTTCACTGTAATGTGTTTGTCAATCTTGATGCGTCCACCATACCTAAAACAGAACTGAGACCGAGAAAAATGGGATGATAAGAGGTATAACATTGTTGTCGCTTCTGTTTAGGAATGCACCATGGACGGACACGAATCAGAAGGCGGAGTAAGACGTAATAGAAGTTTTTATTTGAATGTCTTGTGCACCATACTGTAGCAGCTATGGTTTAGGCTAATATTAAATATGATGCTAAGTCAGTTCTAGTTTCCATTAGAGGAAAACGTATAACGGCGCACCGATATACCCAGGAAACACGAGGGCCACTTTTAAAGTTCAAACCGATTGCGCATCGTGCCCTCGCAACCTGTCACATGACGTCCATTCAGCCTCAAACACGCTTGGCCCATGATACTGTTACTCGAGAAGATGAATCCACGCGCATGCGATCAATCTACCTCTTTCGCACGCGTGGCGTCACTCGGTGACAAAGTCCTCAGCTCCAGAGACGAAACACAATCGTTTAGTTTTATATGGTGCCTTAACACGTAATTCAAGATTAGTTCATTAGTTTGTTATCTGAAATCTGATGTGTGGAATATGATTGAAAACAGTGAATTAAACATATTATAAGTATGGTGTAGGGTGATGTAGGATGATCAAGCAACAACAATAAGATAAGAGATGTTTGATGTGAAGATTGCGAACAATAGGTTCTGAAGTATTATCAGCAACACATATATAATGTAAAGACTGTAAAGATATGCCCGAAGCGTTTTTCGTAAACCGATTATTACTCAAAAAAATGTAGTGATTACCTCAAAATAAATGGTAATTGAAAAGTAATGTAATACCTCCACTTAATTTGAAGATATCAATGTCGCAGACTATGTTTATGGTGACTATGTTGAAAAATTAATAAATTTTCATATATTAGTTTTTAACACAATTTACATTTATAGAGTTTTTTTGACTCCATTTCAGAACAGTTCTTACTTAAAAAATTAGACTCGTCCCTCAATAACGCTCAAACTAGCCTCCTGCCTTGTGCTTCTAGATCTTGGGATTTGTTTTTCTTCCTCAATCTCCGCAAACGCTAATAGCGTTTCTGTTAGTACAGTTAGCTTTGGACGAGATTACTCAAAAGGCGTCAGAAGTATGCCCCGACGACTGGACGAAGTACATGGCAATTTCAGCGATGCAGCAATTATTTTCACTTTAAAATTGAATGAGTACTTGCTCTTAGTTATGTCTAACCATTGATTAATGTATTCTACCAGGTACTTAGGTCCAACTGTATGTATACAAAATTTCATTAAGATCAAATCATTTTTACTGTGCGTTCTGTTTTCTTTGTCACTAAGTATATTTAACGTTGATGACGGCGAATATTTCCATGACTTCAGTATACACCATATGACCTTTTTAAATCATACTTTTTGCCCACTTGTTTCACTGTCCAAAGTCTGATTTATTACTTTATCACTACTTTATAATACTTGTAACTAGTTTATGACAAATTCATTGTTATGTTGACTAGACTACCCCGTTAATTCATTCATCTTTGTCCGTAGACGTGACCGTACTACTTCCACGGTCGTCGCGCCCATATATTCTGGAATTTACTAATCCAGAAGCTCTCCAGAACATTGGCGCGATATTTTTCGAATGCTCCCGATGGCAAGCGAGCCCTGTCGATCGCTCCCGCAAGCTGCGATTCATGATGGTGTAACGCTGGTTGTCTAGTTTTACGAAGCCGTTGCAATACTATTTCAAACACAATGCCATGCAAGAAAACTTGTGGGATAGATAAGCAGTTACCTAAGTTTCCAAACCAGAAGTGGCTAATTTCATGGCATATAACAATTTTCATCTGGTCATCGCTGTAATACCTGAAACTTTTTGAAAGTAATCCTTCCCTGAACGTAATCAGGCCCCAATTTTCTGTTGCTGTACTTTCCTGTCTTCTAAACTCGATCATATCTATCAAAAAATAAAAATATTTATCACTTCAAACAATACGTATTTAATGAAAAAATGTTCTACCTAGTTTTGGTATGGGATACTCCAGTTTGGTATACTCAGTAAAAAATTCCAATGCCTTTTTTGCTGATTCTACAGCAAAACCGTTGTTTTCCTTAGAAGTATTTGTTCCGTAGACCCTGATAGGTATGGACCTATCCAGTTCTTGATATGGTTCTTCGTAGTACGAGAATTCAGTAAAAGCAAATGATACTAGGTATGTGGACATCGGTACTGAAGGCATAAAATCGTAAACTGTGCCTTTTGGAGTCTTGAAAGTACCCTGAAACGTTAAATAGTAAATAGGATGTTACAGAATATTGTCAGCAATATTTAATGGCTCGATATAAAAAAACAAGAATTCGGATAGGACAATCTTAAAAAAGACGTGATTCTAACCCCTCTGGAAACGAACGCAAACCTGTTAAACTATTGTTTATGAAAAGATCATGCTTGTTTTGCATCGCCTGCAACCATGACTAACCTCAAACAGCGGTGTTTCGCACTCATTAGTAACTCATCAGTGCGGTATATCTATTAGGCCTAGTCGTGGAGACAGACGAAACGGAAAGCAATTAAAGGGATGCGGTCATTCGCAAATGAATGAATAACGAAATTAGAGGTACACCGGTCACCATGAGGAGCCTTATGCACGACTACATTCACTAAGCCTTAAGCTCGCACTTCTAGCAGTTCTAGCAAAGTTGAGTATAGCCCTGACTTTCAGCTGCTTAGCATTCTGGGGATCCAAAGTGTAGGACCCAAGTATTGTCTGTCTGTAGTAGCCTCACAGCGACACAGAACATACGCAGCGTTCACACATGGAAACCGCAGCCACCGCATGCAGGTGGTCATCATGTTATGGCCAGACAACACTCCCACCAACAACCTTAGGTTGGCTGTATCCAAAGTTAAGCAAAAGCGTTCATCCTTCCCCATTTCTGTGTTGTTTAGCAATCCACTTCTTAATTTTCTCCCTGACTCTTTGAGCGGGCACCCCTAGCGCTGACTCAGAACCAACGAGGTTGCCCGCTGATCCTGCTTTTGCAAGAGCGTCTGCCATATCATTGCCCCTTATCCCAGCGTGCCCTGGTACGCATACTAACGATACTCTGCTGCTAGAGTATCCACAGCCTCTCTGCATTGCAATACAAGGCTCGAAGTCATCTTGCAGACACTTAGTGTCTTCATACCAGCCTGGCTGTCGGAGAAGATTGTTATTCTTCTCCTAGACTCTTCCCCTCCAAAATGCGGGTACGCAAGCCAGAATCGCATAGATTTCCGTAGGAAAATAGTGATGTATCTGCTGAGAGACAGAGACCTTCGTTCTAGGCCGGAAGACTCCGGCGCCACTGCCCACTTCCTTCGGAGACCTTGCGGAGTCCCACTCCACCCTAGTTGGATACTCCTTACTCCTACCACAATAGGGGTGACAGAACTCCACCTTGCCTGCAGTCTCTAGCCACACTCACGCTGCAGCATACGTCATTCAGCATAGCTGTTGCTAAACGGCCCTCTTAAGTGGATAGAACCCAGTCAATTAGGATTAGTCCAACCCCGTCCCTAACCAAGGGATGTCAGATAGAGTCGGTTGTAGTGCAATTAAATGCACCTTCAATGTCCAAAAGTGCCACTTCTCGCTGATCTAGAGTCTTTTCCAGTCTTCCGACCAGATTATGTACGGCCAGATCAGTCAACTTCTTAGCCTGGTATGTGAACAAATTAACGCACCATCCCTCAAAAATCTATCAACTATCCTTTCCGGTGTCTTGAACACGAAAGATGAAAGGATGATCGGACGAAAATCCTTCGGGCGAGTATAACTAGCTCTGCCCGGCTTAGGAATAAATACTACTTTAGCCTGCCGTCAGCTTCTATAGTTCTGAAGCTCCTGGCCACACATGCTCGAAACACCTTCAAACGCTAAGATACAACTGAATCCAGCCCGTGCTGTAACATGACCGGAAATACGCCGTCCAAACCCAGACTTTTGTATAGAGCAAGCAAATCGGTCACCCATATTATCCTATCAAAGGTGACAATATCTCCTGGAATGCACCAGTCCTTCCCTGAGGGCCTGCGCAACGGCATACTCTATGTGATTGATTGTGCTACTATGAAACCCGGAAAGTGCGAATCCTTCAGAAGCCTCAGAGTAACTTCCTTGGAAGTAGTATTAACTCCCAAGAGATACCGGGACCCCAACCACGCTTTGGTGTCCTTGCACAAAATTCTGTGTATTCTAGCTGTAGCAGGAATGCCGTTAATGGACTCATAGAAGTTACTACAGGATTCTCTGGAGGTCATAATAAACTTTTTGTATTCCTGCAATACCTCCTTATACTCTTCCCATTGTGGAGAGCCTGTCATGTGCCTAACTGTGCTAAGAGATTTCTGCACAGTTCATTTCGTATCTCTAGCTCCTTAGACCAGAAGGCTAATTTGCACTTACCTTGTACTTTGCGTAACGGGGCACTTTACCCACTTTACCTCATATGAAGCCTTCAGGCCCCTGCTTCTATATCAGAACTCCTACGAGGGCTGTTTTGAAGCACTCCAAGCTTACTACCCTAAACGACGCCCAATTGTAAGCCTAAGATTCCGAGCGCATTTATCTGGAATCTCTCCATCAATCTTAAGCAATATATGCCTGTGATCAGATAAAGAGGGTGTTAGAGAGATCTGCCATTCTCGTGCGAAGTGCTACATAGATCACTTCTTTGCTGACATTGTCAAGTCTGTTGGTGTTCGAGCTGCCCCACATAACGTGGTGAGCATTGCTGTCGCACCCAGTTATTTGAAAAACTCGAAACATTGTGCGCTTAGCGTAGAAGTCGAGACATTTGAGCTAGAGTGCGTAAGGGCATATCTATCGTCTACTCTACATGGATGATGATGAAAATCAACTTGGAGAAACCATTGGTAGGTGGATTTTATTATTAGAGGTAGTCAAAAAACACATATTGGAGACCCGAAAGATGTGGGGAAATTTTGTGCGCCATCCCTAAAGTACCCTAATTACACCCCATCGAATAATAAAGTCCTCATTCAATTCTGCATACAGATTATGATAGTACAAATATGAATAATTAATAATTTTAGAATAACTAACATTAACTGAAGATATTGAATATACAAAATATTGTGCATACAAAGAACTCAAATAGGGGTAGAAACTACGAGGTTTGTCCGGAAAATACGTATAAAAAATTCGGGGCGTTGTGTCAAGGCGTTGTGGAGGGGTGGCCCGGTAGTTCCCTCTCTCTATGCAATCTCCTCTTTGCTCAGTTCGAGCTTCGAGCCGGAGCTCTCTGCGAGCAAGTCGTGAAATCTTTTACTATTTAAAATACGTTTACGAAGACAATTCTCTGAGGGAACGAACCGTCAGCAAGTGGTTGAAAAGGTTTCGGGAAGGCCCGGAAGATGTGAAAGATGACCAACGCTCAGGACGCCCCTCCACATCGAGCCCTGAGGGAAATGTTGAACGAATTCGGGACTGTGTTCTTAAAGACCGTCGATTGTCAGTTAGAATGATAGCTGAGGAACAGTCAATCCCCAAAACAATCGTCCACGAAATTCTGACATAAAAACTTGAAATGAAAAAATTGTGCGCGAAAATCGTTCCGAAGCTCTTGGCTCCAGAACAGAAAGCAAGGAAGGTTACTTGCTGTGAGGATTGGTTGGAAGCAGAGGAAAGGGGGGACTTTCTCAACTTCTCAACTGGGTCATCAGTGGAGACGAGTTTTGGTTCTACGAATTCGAAGTGGAGCTGAAATCTTAACGCGCCTGCTCACACGCCTCTCGAGCGTGAGTTTTTGGCCCGAAGCTCAATCACCGTGACAGAACACTCGCCTTATTCACCCGATTTAGCCCCTTGCGACCTCGTCCTGTTCCCAAAATGCCAAATGGTGCTTCGAGGGAGGCACTTGGGGGATGTGGAAGCCATCAAGGCAGAAACGACACGGCAAATGAAGAGCCTCATAGTTGAAGTCTTTTAGCGATCGTATGAACAGTGGAAACGGCATTGGCAGAAGTGCATCTTGTCTCAGGGGAATACTTTGAAGGAGACCATATTGAAATGCCTGAACAATTGTAAAATAAAGTTATTATGACACTTTTATACGTATTATCCGGACAAACCTCGTATGTGAAAAATACGTTTTCACGTTTTTCAATTTGTGAGGACAAAATAAGCATCCGAAAATGCCAAATCTATGAACGAACGTAGGCCAGTGAAAACTGGTTTAGAATTAAAAGTAGTCAAAAATACTTATTGGAAACCGGAGATGTCTACTACGCCAACCCTGGAGTACATTATAATCACCTCCTATCGAACAATAAAGTATTCTAATCAATTCTGCATAGAAGTTATAATAGCGCGAATATGAATAATAAATAGTTCCAAGATGACAACATTAGCCGAAATCATTGAATATACAAAATATAGAATATACACAGAACTACCCCAAATAGGGGGTAGAAAGTTTGTGAGAACTATGTTATCACGTTTTTCAAAGATCTGAGTACCTACTCTTACCAAAAAATGAAGCCGCATTTTTTCACGTACTCTCTTTGGGGTAGTTTGGTATGTATCATATATTTTTTGTAGCCAATGTTCAGTAAGATAGTAATTAATCATACAATTATTTACCATTTCTCTTTCAGCATTTCTATGCTGGATTGATTATTCATTAGGGGTGATCACTACAATTTAGGGAAAGTGTTGTACATTTGCCCGCATTTTGCGGGTTTCCAATCAGTATTTTTGACTATTTTTAATCATAAACAATACTTTAACTGGGTTACTTAGTTATGTTTGTTTCTAGAGGGAGCAGAAAAACGCATATAGATTGTATTTTCACGCTTCCATGTAATGGGGTGTATAAACACATTTGCATGCAAAATGTTATATTGGAAACGTAACTACGTGTCTGGTCCAAGAAAAATATATATATTATTGGAAATTCTTACAATGACGGGCATATTTGAGATAGCCTTGAAAGTATCATTTGGTGAAGTAAGACGGATGCTGAAAGTAGCTTTGAAAGGAGGTTCGTCAATACATGGAAATACTGTTCTGGCATGTATGGGTTCGAAATCCGTCACGTAGATGTACCTAAAAAATAAGAAGTGTTTGAAATGTATACTAAATTAAAGCTTCATCGTTACAGGGTCGAGCAGCCAAGTTATGTTTTAAAAATAATGCCATCCAAATCCACCATTCTTGGACTTGAATTTTTAGCAAACTTTTGGAACTATTGCGACTAAATTTTACCAATACCAAATATTTTACTTCAAGTCACTAGTCATCTGCAGATTGCTAGAATAGACTTTACTCTTAGGGAATCCCCCAAAAAATGCTAAGTGAGGTTAGGTTAGTTTTTTGTGAATAAGTCAATCACAATATTCCACTGCGACTATCTATTGTGGCTCACACCTACATTTATATTTCTCCAAGTAGCTCCGATACTCTAAGGATAAGCTGGAAGCCGATCAGATTAATTGGAGAAATATCTTGCAGGTATTCTACTTATAGCAATACTCCTCCGCGTGACTTTGACAATTGCAGAGCAGCTGCACAAAATGTGTTTAATCGTGGTGGCTCCCTCCATCCACAGTCTGCAATCAGTTTCTTCATTTTTCAGCCTGCTCATGTGCTGACGCAAACTGCAAATCTGCAATGATCAGTGTACAGTCTCACTAAAGTTTCAGGGCTGCTCCTCTTTAGCCACAGAAGTGACTGTTACCGGCTTTCACAGTGTGGAAAGTCTCTGAAGAGACGCACATACTCCAAAAATAACAAAATATGTGCCATTAATGTCTAAATCACTTTTATATTTGTCCATGGACATTAATTTTGACTTCAACTTCGTATTCAGCGGGAAAAATGGCGTCAAGTAGGTTCACTCTGCACTTCCCACGCAACGCCCTTATCAGTTGATAAGGGATTATGTTCATTACAAACTAGACCCTCTGAGATAAAAGTCAGTCAAACAGGTCCAATTAGTCCATAGACGTTCTTTCCTTACCCTACCGGTAGTGCATCTGGAAACGTCGCCTCTCGGTCAGAGGTGGCACCCTGGAGCGCGGTCTGTAAATTAAGTGATAACTCTGACAACGTAGCGTTCGATCTTACAACACTGGAGATGCCGGGCTTGGCGGGAAGACAAGGGAATATGAGATCCGCCTTCATTACAAGCTTGAGTCGCTCGAGTAACTTGGTTATCCGTTTTTTTTTTGTGAAATGAGTGACATCAATTTCGAGCAACGGTTTTGCTTCAGACTTGAGCACAGTGCCACGGAAACTCTTGCTAAATAGGCCTACGGAGATAGTATTTTGTTAAGAGCCCAGGTTTTTCGGTGGCTTAAGGCATTTTCAGAAGGGAGAGAGTCGATTTAAAATGAACGGCCTTCATCTTCAGAACCGATGGAAATATCGACAGAATCCGTTGAATCTTGTACAGACCGATGGAAATGAGTGACATGGTTTTTACGCCAGTAGACGCGTGGAAGTAGAAATACATAGGCAAGATATAGTAGAGCGCACAGCATACATATTTTTTTTATTTCATGGGCCTGTGTAATTAAATTAACGCTTACTTGATCACACCATTGCCACATGCTGCTTTCCTGAACCCAGTGGTATTTCCTTCTGATATCTCTCCTGTATATTTGATATGTACTTGATGGTCACCCCTCTCCACTCTGTAACCATCCTGGTATTCGATGCAAATTTTATCCTCATCTTCTGATCCCACAATAGCTTTCTTCTGATTTAAAAAGGTTTCTGAGATATTGAGATGTTTGCTGTGCAAGCATATCTTGTCGGAGGCTTGGTTGCATCGTAGATAAATTTTCACCTATACAGGGTGTAACAGAATATTGTAAGGAAAATAGAAGGCAGATATGACACGTTATAATATAAAATAATGATCATACAAATCCAGATATTTCCTCTGATGATACGAGGTGTTTGAACTTGTTGAACGAAAAAATGTACGCCATTGGTTTTCGTTTTCTTAAAACTGTATTAAAATGTCACTTTTTTATATCCGTTAAAAAAATACCAGCTTGGTTGCTATGTTTCATTGACGATCTACTGTTAAAATAATTTTATTTCGAAAACTTTAAAAGGCAATTTTTAAATAAGTACTTATTTTGTTGCAAAGACCAGCACCGTACTTTATTTCGCTAAACTGATGTAAGTAATGCGGATGCTTTAGAAAACAATGTTGAACATGTTAATGTGTCATTTGTGCCAAGACTTGTTCTAATATGTCAATAGAGAGTTTTTAGTGCTCTTGTTTTACTGCTTGGTGATGATCTCCCTTATTTCAATTTTGCGCAATAGCGATACAATCCTTCGTTATCCTTATCGAAATAAGAAAGCCCCGTTAGTTACTTAGAATCGGGTAGGACTTATTTTGCAAGGTTATATTTTCTTTATTCAGTACTGTTGCCGGAATTTATAACACTGGATAAGCTTAATTAAAGTAATTTCAAACTTTGAAATCATATTGGTTATACATACATAACATATTTTAAATGAACTGGAGAGCGTATCTATGGCGGCGTTTTCTTGCCCGCTTCAATTATATGAATATATATAATAAAATTATATATATATATATATATAATTTACACTTACAGGGGTAGTAGAACAAACTAGAAAAAAAACGAAAAGTGTTGGTTGGGCTACACTTATGCTCTCCAGTAGATCACAAATAAAAATAAATGCAAGATATAGGCAGTGCTCTTAATCAATTGATTTGTCTTGATTTTTGTTATAAAGTTTGTCCTTAAAGTTGGGACTTTCCTTCACACGGCGTATAGATAATATAGATATTGGAAAAATAATCAGTCTTTCCAAAGTCGTGGAAAAAGCTCTCGTGTTACCCTTACCAAAAACTATCAATCCAACAACATACGCAATTTTGAGACACATTAGTATTTTACCTTTTCCCTCAAAATTATTAGATAAAGCAATGTGTAATCAATGATTTTATTTTGGAAACTAGTATAATACCGGATAGACAATGTGGTTTTAGAAAACGCTATAACGCCGCTGCAGGATTATTCGACCTAACCGACAGTATTGTTAAAGCTTGGTACCATCGACAAGTAACACCATTAGTTCTTTTAGATTTCACCAAGGCATTTGATATGATAAACCACGAACCGATAGATAAATGCAAATATTATGGTATCTGTAATAACTCGTCGAAATTGATAAGTAGCTTTCTAAAGATAGTTTGCCTAAATGTTTGATTTCCTCGGAAGTACCACAAGGCTCAGTACTTAGACCGCTTCTGTTTCTCTTATATACCCGATTTGAACAAAATTGTAAAGTACTGCAATATTCAATTTTTTGCAGACGATTCACAACTTCATTTCAGCAGGAAACTTAGGGGTATTTTTGACGAGAACTTACCTAGTTCTCGTAAATAACATTACTAAAAGGTGCTCTGCTGTCCTACATCAATTATATCTTAACAGGCAAATACTTGATTGTAGTACTAAAAAAAATCTATGATAATATCAAAAATTACTTGCTGCGGCTTAGTATATCATCCATTTTTAGATTCTGTATCTGTGGAACGTTTGCAAAAATTTCCGTTGGAGATTGGACTTTTAACCTACGAAAGTATGATCACATTAGCTCGTATTTTGAACAACTACATTGGTTAAATGTATCAAAATTATTCATGCTTCAGTTATTATGTTTTGCGAACAAAGTTCTGTCCAAATCATTTCTTCCATTTTTAAAAGACAAGCTAATTCGTCGTGAGTGTACCCACTCCAGAAATATTTTTTTTTGTGAATACCCATGCCTCTTCACAAGACATCATTCTACAAGTGCTTTACTTTTAATGTCATTATAATAAACAATGCATTACTACTGCCTATGAAGCTTCTGAACGTCAACGACAACATGAACTACACGCAGGTCGAACAATTTTGATATTATAGGTGGATTTATGTGAGATTATATATTTATATATATATATATATATATATATACAAGGGATGTCTTTTAAGTTTTGCATATGGAAATAAAACAACACGGTAGGTAGTTTTAAATGACTTTATTGTTTTTCGAAGTATCCTCCACGAAGATTAATACACATCTGCATGCGCTCGAACCAATTTTCGAAGCACTTATTCCACTCGTTTGCTGGCAGATCCAAAACGGCATCTTTGAATGCGTCAACTGCTTCTTCTGGTGACTGGAACCTTTGACCACGCAGTCTGTTTTTAATTTTCGGGAAAGTACAGAAATTGTTAGGACTTAGATCGGGAATATATGGAGGATGGTCCAATAATTCCGCGTTTTCTTTCGTTAAATACTGCCTTGTTTTTTGGGCTGTGTGCAAGCTTGCATTGTCTTGGTGGAGGATGATTCTTCTTTCGGGGTTGATTTTTCGAAGCTCGGTGATGACTTTTGGCAAACAAATGGTGGTATACCAATCAGCAGTAACAGTTCTTTGCTCATTAAGAGGAATTGTTGCAATATGACCCGCTTTTGACACAAATGTCGCGACCATCTTTTTCGAAACACTTCGAGAACGGATGACTTTTGTTGGCTTTTCTTCACCTTGGAACACCCAAACAGTCGTTTATTTTGTGGTACATAACAGTAAATCCACGATTTATCACCACTAACAATGCTGTACACATTTTTGGAGTTTCCGGAATTGAAACGGTCAAGCGTTTTTTGACACCAATTAACCCTAGCTACTTTCTGCTCTTCAGTCAACAGGTGGGGCATCCAACGAGAAACTAATTTTCTTACTCCTAATTCTTTATGTAAATTTTTTTTAATTGAAGTCTTTGAGATCTTCAAGGACGCCTCAATCTCGCGATATGTCACATGTCCATCTTCAATGATGAGTTTGCGCACAGCATCGACGTTTTCCTGGGTGACTGCCGTTTTTGGTGCACCCACCCTGGAATCGTCGCTAAGACTCGCCCGTCCACGTTTGAATTCTCCATACCAAGGGGAAATTGTCGACTGATGTGGCGCGTCGTTGCTGAAAACGGACAGTAACTCAGCAAGGCATTCTTGTTGCGATAATTGCGTCTGAAAGTTGTAATTAATTATGGCGCGAAAATGTTCTCGGTTGAGTTCCATTTTTCTAATGACTTGATGACACTTAAAAATTCACTGTAGTGAGAACACTGCACGTATTGTTGTGAAACTTTGAATTTAAGTTTACTAAAGAGTGAGGTTACGATTCAGTACTGACGTTCGATCCGCGCGACCCACTATGTTTCTATATGCAAAACTTAAAAGACATCACTCGTATAATACTACTACTTAGTATAGTAGTACTCTACTACATTTTATTCTATTTATTTATTTTTTATGTTAATTATTTTTGTTAAAGGTTAAGTGTCAGAATAGATATAAGCGAAACTTCGCCCTAAATAAAGACGATTTATTATTATCATTATTATTAAGATATACACAAACGTCTTAAGATTAACGAGATGATAGGCTCCGCAAAATCAAACAACCGTAAACAAACCTAATCCGGTTCTGCACCTCTATCAGATCAGACGTGAACACGTACAATGCGGATGAGTATTCGATCCACCGCGTTTGTAAACAAAACTTTTACACATCGGTTCTAAAAAAATGATACACTCTTGCAGCAATATCGTAATTTTCCATATTATTTTAATTCACGGTGAACGTCTTCGAAATGCTACCGAGGCTTCGTGAGAACATGCAGATCGTTTTTAAAGATCTTTTGGAATTTATTGTTTTGTTTGGGGCAAAATGAAATGTTTAGTAAATAACTGAGATGAACACGGTTGATGAACTACGTGTGCGAATTTAGCAATCGACTGCATTCATTTGGGAAAGGCAGTCCATATATGATTGTGTCTTTGAATCCATCGCAGACAACTTTGAACAATACTTAGAAGTGACAGAGCTGTGCTTGAAATTTATTTTCGATGAACGGTGAGTTCTTTTCCATTTATTATTTTTTTACTTTTTTGCTGTTTCACATTCACATTCACTTTGTTTTTATAAACGTAGTTGTTTTAGCGAAGGAAAATCCCAACTTTCATGACACTGTGTATATGCAATGTGGCAATGTGGTTTTATTGTTCTGCTGATTTTGTGGGCACTTGTCATTTTGAGGTTCTATGACTCTAAGCCTATTCATTTCTGGTCCGGTTTTCCATGAAAAAAATTTACAAGCTTTTGAAATTTTGAGGTGTCCTTATTTGCTGCCGTTGTCAAAAATAACGTAACAGAAAACTTAACGATTCGTTAGTTTTGTTCCACTAAAAACTATCTAATGAGCACGTTCAGTCACGCAAACGGTCCAGCGGTGCAGCATTTTTATGATGAAAAGTAGTAACCGTGGAATAAATTTGGCAATTCGCAGCATTTAATTAATATACTATAAGATCTGATAGTCAATTGAAAATTCTTAATGTTCGAAAATTGCCTTTCCGGAAGCATCTCCATCATGACCATATGTTCATAATCAATAATGGCATAATCTTAGCACTCTGATTTATTGTTAAACTACAATTCTATATCCTTTAAAAACGACTTATTCTTTTGTTATATTTATAATGTTGCAAACTGTCAGAGTTACTCCACGACTCCTGCTATTCAGCGTAGGGCTGCACCGCTGAACCGCTTTACGTTAGCTGTACGGTTACTTGGTTTCGTATCTTAAATAATATACTATGATTGCTATGAACAATTTATATTTCTAACTTCACCCACCTCTCCTTCGAATATATCTTTTGAGAAGTCTGGTCGGATCCATAAATTGTAGTGTGTAGGGATGACTGTTTCTTGTGGAATACGCAAGTAGGTGGAATCTGAAATCAAAATCTTGAGCGACTCCAAGCTGTAACTGTTATTTATAGGTCCGAAACAAGGTGACAAGTATGTATAGGTGTTTGTCCAAAGTTCGATCATACAATTTTAGTTTGAATGAAAAGATCTGTATAGCTGTAGCTTTGGCCAAACATCAAAAATCTATATTTGAAACACTTTTAGTATCAGACTGCTATTATGAATACGAGTATACATTTTTCATCACTTGATTAAATACGTATGCAATTATATTTGATCTGTTTCCAAAGAATTTGATTCATCAGCCGAAATATGCATCAAAGTGCTAGCCAAGATCTTTGCTGCCAACTCCACCATGGACTTCCCCCCAACGCCCAAGTGCCGTCAATTCAAAGGGTTGCCTACACTATGCGGGAGGTAACATTCAGGCATAAGACCGTAAGATGAGTGCTCTTGTCGCTCGACATCAACAAAGCTTCTGGTCCGGACTTGATTCCTACCATTGTACTGAAGAGGTGTGCAGCGGAGCTTGCTCCAGTTCTTTCGCGTCTCTTCCAGATATCTTATGAATCCGGCACCTTCCCAGAAAACTGGAAATTTGCTCATGTCCAACCCATCCCAAAAAAGGGATCTAAGACCGACTACAGGCATATAGCTCTGCTTTCTGTTTTAAGCAAGCTAATGGGTGGTGCATAAATCGCGAGCTTCTGGACTACCTCGAACGTCACAGCTTGATTAGCGACAGGTAGTATGGTTTCCGGCACCAACGATCCACAGGGGACCTCCTAGCTTACGTCACTCAATTGTGGAGTAAACTCATCCAGTCTTATGGTGAGGCTCATGTCGTTGCTCTTGACATCACGAAAGCGTTCGATCAGCTGTGGCACGCTGCCCTCTTAAGCAAACTTCCATCCTATGGCCTCCCAGAAAAGCTTTGCAGATGGGTGGCTGACTTTATCTCTCGCCGCAAGATATCCGTCGTAATTGATGGGTTCTCCTCTTCATCCCACAACGTCAACGCAGGTGTTCCCCAGGGATCGGTCTTGGCTCCGACACTGTTTCTCTTACATATCAACGACCTCCTTTCCTGCACGATCAACCCAATCCACAGCTTCGCTGATGACAGCATTTTACATGCAGGAATTCATAGTGACAAGCCGATCTCTGACGCTGAGTTGGAAAAAGAATACTAGCGATGACTTCCTCTCTGACAAGAGACCTGGAAGCTATCACTGCTTGGGGACGCAACAATCTTGTATAGTTCAATGCTTCCAAAACGCAGTACTGTACTTTGACGAACAAAAAGCGTCCCTGCGCTCACCCGGATTCGCTGGATGGCCGAGTTCTGCCAAAGAGCCATTCATTTCGGCTGGTCGGAGTCCAGATCACCGAGGACCTGATCTGGCACGAACACATCTCGTCAACAGCTGCAGCCGCTGGGAAAAAGCTAGGCTATTTGTTTAGGGCTAAGAAGTACTTTTCCCCGTATGACCTTCTCACTCTATACAAGGACCAGATAAGGCCTGGCCTCGAGTATTGCTCACACGTTTGGGGTGCTGCCGCCCCGACTACATTATCCATGCTCGATGCTGTCCAGAGGAGGGCGGTCCGACTGATCGATGACTATTCTCTAACAGTCAGTCTCGGGACTCTTTCGCACCGGCGGGCTGTCGGCGATCTAGCTCTTTTCTATCGTTACACCAACGGGCTTTGCTCTTCAGTGCTCTCTTCCATGATGCCGCTGCGCGATGTGCCTGCCAGACAGATCCGTCTGACTTTGGCGTCCCATCCTAACTGTGTCGAACTTCGTACATCCAGAACTGGCCGATACGACCGCTCCTTTGTCCCCAGGGTGTCGAGATTATGGAACAATCTACAAGAGGAAACTTTTCCCAGTTCTATTAACCTTAGGCAGTTCAAAAATCGTATTAACAAAATTTCTTTGGGATCATCATAGCAGCCGCGGCTGCTTCTATATATATATATATAAAACTGTCTCATATTGAAGCAAACCACACAGATTAGATTATATACATCATTTATTAATGATTTCTTCCAAAATTGTTATGCTGATTGGCCTAATTCTGCAGTTTAGAATCTATAATTAACCTTATCATCGCTCCAAATATGAATGGTATTTATCTGGTTACATGTACCTATGGAGTTTATTAACTTCAAATAGAGATATATATTTTAAATTGAAAAGGAACAAATATACTCAATGTGTTAATAAAGTACCTGGCCAGATTTCAATGCTTATTTCTAGCAAATTTCATATAAACTTAGATCAACTGATTATTCATTTTCGAAACAGATTAATTCGATTTAAATCGGCGTTATATCTGCAGTCGCGAAAATTAAAAAAAAAAAACAGCAATACTGGCTGGAGAGTTATTGATGTATAATAAAGGTAGAACCGATTTTCGTCAAATGTATTCGGAGATTTTATCACATTTGTCTGGAAGTTGTGTAAGCGCCATGCGTCTTATCTATTTGGAAGAAAACAAAACGATTATGATTATATGACCTAGGAGGACTTTCCTATTGACTTTTTCATTTGTTTATAATATGCAGCAAATACATAGATATACCAAATGATATAATTAATATTGTCCTCAGATTGCTAGTAATTAATTAACTTTGAAGCTACAATTTTATAAAACAGCGCAGTCATTGGGGATGTAGGATTCTGGTTTTAGTAAATAATGTTGAAAGATAATTTTCTAAGATAGTAGATTGGAACTACTGAATATAATGGCCATTGTTGACGTTGATTTTATATTTCTTAAAATATACCGGGTGTTTCAAATTCGACTCTCATCAATGGGAACTTGGAAACGGTAAGAGATACGAAGTCGGTTAAATGGGAGCAAAGTACGCATTCAGTTAACTAAGAAATGGCACTCAGAAAGCTTCGCAATTCCGAATGTCCCGGGGATAGATGAAAGAAACCCAGTTTTCTCAAAATCGTTTTTATTTTTTCCTGAATTTATTTGAGATGGGATTTCGAAATAAAAAGTACGTTAATAATATCAATTTGTCTCCTCTACAAGGTGGCATAATTAAAATTCCAATATGACGTTTTGCTCCTTGTCCTCAATCATCAACTTTATTTTTTGCAGTAGATTGGAGTTTTTAATTCTGATTTAAAAAATGTATAGTATGTCATACATTGACAGTGTAAAATCTAAGTTATTTGGACAAAACTAATATTGATATAACTGATTTTGAAAATGACAACTTATAACAAGCATTATTTTACCATGATGGAGGCGCTCTACAAGACACCTCAGACGTAGATAATATTGAATGGAAGGTATGTGACTTCTAAACAGGTATGATGAGGAGATATGAAATGTGATGAGGAGGAGCTGCAGCCTGGTAGAATCTTTTACTTACTTCAAAATGCTTCTATCAGTTACATAAAAGAATTTTGTTTTCAATACTACCCTTAAATAATATGAAAAAGTTTTATCATTAGCTTAATCTTTATTCGATGTGTTGAGTTCAAGAACAGGAAGATTACTTTTTTAAATATTTGAAGGTTTATAGTACCAATCAATGACATGAAATATACAGGCCACATCATTACAATCGAAAATTCACCTATGCCTAGTTCATAAAAATTGAAGGAATGCTTGGCTGATGATATGAAACAAATGCTAATTTCAAGGGCTACGTTTTGTTCTGTTTTTTGTTATAATAACTGAGATTCGGCAATGTCAGTCAGTCAGCAATTTGAATAATGCTACCTTGAAGGGGATAAAAGTAGTGTTAATGTATTTTTTTTATTTTGAAATCCCATCTCGAAGTCAGGGAAAAACTATTTTAAGAAAAATGGGTTTCAATCGTGAATCGTAAATTACGAAATTTTCTAAGTACCATTCTCTTAGTTACCTAAATGCACAACCCAGTCCCAATTTAATCGAGTTCGTATCTATGGCCGTTTGCGAGGTCCCAGTGGTGACAGTCTAATTTGAAACACCCGGTATAGTTCACAATTAGTAATAAAATTAAAAAAGTGAATTATAGTAAAGGAAAATTAAAAACACGAAAAACAAGTGGCAAAACCAATGAGCATACCACAACCACAGCCACTTAGAACAAGCTACATAATTATAGATGATATGAGAAACATACATTTTTTGAGATCTTTCGTTTTTACCGCCAGAGTTATGTAAACTTGATGAAATAGAACGTAATCTCTATATGAAACTTGAAATTATTGCATACACAGGCAGATCAAAAATAACGGCAATATTTTTGATGCAGAAAGAATAGCGAGAAATAATACGAAATGTTCATAGCATGAACATGGGTCTGCAAAGTGTCTAACAGCCGGGTTACAGGATGTTGTGGAAACTCTGCTACACTGATTAAGAATATATGTCTAATGCCTTATCGACTACGTAGATATAATTTCTTGTATTCAGCACCCGGTATATCAGTAGGATCGCATTTCAGTACCCATGCTCATAAGGATTTTTCGAATTATGTTGGACGTAGTTTCTGCGATAAACTATTGACACTTTTTTGAATTATTGTGTAGAGGGGTTAAAGAATTTCAGTTTTTACGCTTTTGGTTTTAATAGTTTGAGTCAAAAAATTATTTTTCTTGTGGGCTATTTTTTTCTCGTAAATATCTTCTCCTTTTAGGTGTCAAATTTTTTCAACGTTGCCTTCAGACGTACTTTCTACCATAGTAATATTGCCACTGCTTCTTGGTGATCCATGTGTACCCATACCATATAATATTCCAAGTAATGTCTTACGGCTGAGTTTCTCAAATATCGCAAGGCACTTTAAATAAATTATGAAGTTTCAAGACTTACAATTTCCTGTGGCAGTCACGACACAAAAAATCACAAACTGTATTAGAACATCTATTGAGAGCAGCATATTCGCGCTATTAGTGAACAAACTGAAAGAAATAAACAACAGGCTCTCCTCTCTATGGGAGAGATTAGCAGCCAGTTTATCTCGTACAGAATTTATCGTTAATAATAACAATTTTTATTAATGAGGATCATACTTATACTGTACTCTGTTTGTACATACGCGTGTTATACAGGGTGGTCTAATACAAGGCCGCACTAAAATGTGCCCGTGTATACACGGGACAGTCTGTCGCTTGGTTATTCATTGATGCAATGATGTATTATACCTACATTAAATTCATTTTCGATGTGTAGTCAGTCAACACAATGATCGCTGTGACACAAGCCCTCGGAATCAGACAGGTTCGGATCTATATTTCATGTCACGTCTGTATGCTGTAATAATTTATCCAACTACAGTCTACTTAACACACCTGTAATTTGAGCAAACATCTATGGACCTTGTAACCCCTGATACCTATCCTTCTATGATGATAGGACTCCGTTTCTAGAAGAAACCACATATGTAATAATAACGATAATAACAATTAACGTCATTTTCTTTATAATAATATTTCAGGAGGCTACCTTACATCTTAGCAATACGAGATATATAAAAATAAAAAATTGGTAAAAGTTTGTAATAGATTTATCTATTTTGGGCTTTTGCGCCCTTAGTAACACAACTTGATTTCAGGATGATTAACTTTATTTTGTCTAAAAATGTATATTGATAGGTACTGCAAGGTACCTCGGTCATTCCTCTGCTTATCGTAGCATTTCCAGTGAATTATATCACTTGCAATACCTAACAAGTTTCTAATAACAATTTATTATACAGTATGATCTTACCATACTACACTTCCCCCGATATTCAAAAGAATTTTCTTTTTAACGAAATGAAAATTCTTCTACCTCGCTGAGAATGCTTTATGAGCAACGACGAGTAAAATAATATAAAATATGTAGATATATACAAATTTGTAAACATTATATGCATATAAAATGTATTTCTTGAATTGCTATCAAACTATACGCTGGAAATGGAAAATAAGTAGAAGAAAATGAGTTTGAGAAGGAGAGATAGGAAAGAGATAGTTTAGAATCTATGATAGGAAAGCAGGGCCCTTTTAATACTTAACTACGTACCAGTACCTGGTTCCTAACATTTTGATTACACTGTACAAGAATAATAACGTGTCGTCCAATTTTTATGAATTATTATCTCCTTATTGTCCTTTATAATTTTTACATTTGGAGATATGATAAGAAAAATTTCTTTTATCCCCAGTCGCATTCTTGACTGAAATTTTGTTTCCTTTATTATAAACTATAGGATTAGCTGTCATATCATAATCCACTTTTCTGGCCTGTTTCATTTTCTTTAAGTTTGCCCTCGTGTCATCATAAGCTCTTTGTAATATGTATTGAAACAAACATGGAGAGGTTGGTTGTCGCCTCGAAAAACTACAATGTGTAGGTTGGCTCTTGTTGTGCACATCGTGTGTCAATTTTTTTTCCTCCCCATCTCTGTTTTATCAGGTTACACCCGTATTCGGATGTGTGGACATGTTTTTAGTTGCATATGTGCTTTCATTTCGGGCCTGATGAAGCCAACCAGCAGAAATACGTATCGCTCGGGTTACCTATCCTTCTGCTCGAATTCACCTTCCTTCTTTTGGCGGATTTTGCCCATTATTTTTATATTTGTTATATACCTTTCTTCGCATGATCCTTTTCTCTTTATATATATATATATATATATATATATATATATATATATATATATATATACTAAGTGACATAAATCCGAACACCCAGCTTAAATGGTTTTATTTTAATAAAATTTTGTATAAGTACTTAATGAAGCATAATAAGTAAATGATAAAAATTTCAAAATGATTGCACTGGTTTAAAGCCCTTTGACCTTTAATAATGTGTGGATGCACCCTTATGTGCTACGCATTCTCCAACGCGCCTAGGCATGCTTCTGATCAGGTGGTCAATGTCCTCCTGTGGTATCTCATTCCAGGCAACCACCAACTCCTCTCGAAGTGATTCTAGAGTCTGAGGAGGACGTTGCAAATTGAGCAATCTCCTACCCATCATATCCCACACGTGCTCAATTGGGGATAAGTCGGGAGATCTTGGTGGCCATGGTAACAATGTGACATCATTAAAAGAAGTCTATTGTGACTCTTGCAACATGTGGTCGGGCATTATCTTGTTGGAAAGTTGGATCTGCCAGGGTGTCAAGATAGGGTAAAAGATGGGGTTCCACAACTTCGTGGATATAACGCTGCGCGTTCATGTTACCTCTGATGAAGATTAAAGGTGACCTGGAACCATAAGCTATAGCACCCCAAACCATAACTCCAACAGTGTGATGAACATGTCTTTCAACAAAAAACTGTGGATTGCTCCTTTCACCACGTCGCCTTCTAACCCTGGCACGACCATCGTGCATGCCTAAACAAAATCGAGACTCGTCACATAAGACAATACTGTTCCATTCCTGATCCCAGAGTGACCGTTGTCTGCACCACTCAAGGCGATTACGTCGGTGTTCTCGAGTTAAAGGGAGGACCCAGTGTGGCCGGTATGAAAACAAGCCAAAACTTCTCATTCGTCGGTAAACACTTCGCATGCCAATAGATCTTCCATGTTCTGCAAACTATTAATTTGCAATGGACCTGGTAGTGGAGAAACGGTCCCTTAAGGCCAATAATCTTAGGCGGCGATCTTCACGGTCTGTTGTGCTACGGCGGCATCCAGTGCCCCTTGCTCTTTGCGTACGGCCTTCTCGAAGCCATGCCTGACAACACCTGACCACAGTGTCTACACTTCTTTGCACTCTAACTGCAATTGCCCGAAAAGAAAGTCCAGCTTCCCGAAGTCCCACTATACGGCCCCTATCAAACTCACTAAGTTGACGAAATCGTACAGGTCTCCGTACTCTAGGCATCGTAACCGATCGTAAAGGATGTCAAGAACCAAAATCTGCCAACGTTGATTCTTTACTGCGGCTGAAATATTCATTTTTAGAGCGTTAGTGAATTAAAAAAAAGCAGTATAAAAACCGGAATGTCCAACTGATAAGGCTGAAAATTTTTTCACTTGTTATTTACAGTAAGAAATACATTCACCAACTTTTATTAAAATAAAACCATTTAAACTGGGTGTTCGGATTTATATGTCACTTATATTTATATACAGGGTGACTTTGAAGTTGAGTCATTAATTTTCAGATAATGATTGTAGAAGGAAGATAAACCAAAATATGTGTGTAAAAATAAAAAAAAAATAAAAAAAAAATTAAAAAAAAATTTTACCTTGTTTTATAAAGTATCCTCCCGACAAGTATTTCAGTGCGGACCTGTATTTGATCGTGAGGTCTTGGAGCACCGGCATGCCGTCCATATGTGAGGTCTTAAGTCAAATGATTCACGAACCCGTTGTACTACATTAACAAAGGCACGAGGGGTTGGTTGCACTCGATTGGGAAACCGATCCGCATAAACATGTGCCATTTTTTATTTCGTTTGAGCCACGCAACAGACACCACTATTCACTACCGACTGACACTGACTGTATACAACTGAATGAAATAATTGTAAAAACATCGTTCCAAATTCTTTCGCTTTTTTGTTTCCGATGCGATGAACCGATAAGGCGAATTATATCCGTTGTCGCCAAACACGAGCACATATTATTATTGAGACAGCGCGGTACTCAAACTTCCAAAGGGCTATAACTTTGTTACTTTAATTTTACCAGAAAAATGGTAAAGGAAAAAACATTTCTTTTGATCAGATCTACTCACTGTTAAAATAAATGACTCAACTTCGAAGTCTTATATAACTTGAGACGTGGTCATTGTCGTCTAGACCAGTTAGGTGAAAAATTAAAGCTTCCGCCTTTTGTTGGGTACTTCGACAAAATTTAGGCAGAGGACTCTTTATACTTTTTTAATTCTCTCTAGCTTTCAATGGACTTTGCCATCATCATCAGGAGAGTAGTATGTGAGGATGTTGCTAATTGTTGTTTACCTATAGGATGAGGGAAACGTCCAGTAACATGGTGAGAGCTGGATACATGGTACAATGGTCAAAATTATATAAAATATGACAAGACAAGTTAAAAACAGATTAAAAATTATTTAAAAAACAATGTTTTCCCTCATCCTATACGTAAACAACAATTAGCAACATCCTCACATACTACTCTCCTGATGATGATGGCAAAGTTCATTGAAAGTTAGAGAGAATTAAAAAAGTATAAAGAGTCCTCTTTGCTTAAATTTTGTAGAAGTACCCAACAAAAGGCGGAAGCTTTAATTTTTCACATATATATATATATATATATATATATGCAGGGTGTCCCAGAAGTCGACGTCAAGCCGAAACCGGGTGATAGGCAAAGTCATAACAGCTATCAGAAATATATTTAAAAAAAATGTATGTATGTGTTTTGAAAATTATAGGTCTTTGAAAAAGATATAGAAATTTCACACCCTACGGCAGTCTGTCAACTCCTGTTACTACAAATATTAACTTTTTTTGGATTTTATTTTTACAATGCAATGATGAATAATGCATCTTCAAACTGGTGTCTCAACCTTACTGCCAACTTTTCTCGTTCAGGAAAAATTGCCACTTATTTCCCAACCAAGTATTCCAAAGTAAAACTTTGCTCAACTTTAAATGGCTGTACTGGAAAAAAATGTACTACGAGAGTTTGGCAAGTAACCTTAAAAGTTGGCGCATTTAATAACGATTCCAAAATGGTATAACACTTAGAAGATTACTCGTTAATTTATGCACAATTTTTATTTGAAGAAAAACTGATGAAAATTTTTCAAAATTTCCTAATTAAACAGCGATTATGAAAACGCACAAGGACCCTTAAGGATAACTGTTTGCACAACAGTGGGCGTCAAAATGCTGCTGATGATGATTTACCTTTACAGCAAATGCTCAAACTGTTTTCCTTTAGCCGCAATACACGCTCGACATCTTCTTAAAAAAGATCGAGTTATTAAACGAGCGAATCCACGGTTATTAACAAACTCAGCTGCTTCCAACAGTCTTTGCCGTAGCTCAGCTACATTTTGAATCGGCTTGAAATACACTTTTTCTTTTACAGTTCCCCAGTAAAAAAAAATCTAACGGATTCAAATCTGGTGACCGGGCTGGCCACCGTATTGTACCAGACCGCCCTATCCATCTGCCTGGAA